CGACGAAATAGTTTTCCAATATGATCGTGTTTCGGCATCGATGTGCGGCGGCCAGTTTCAGCTTTTTCTGTGGCCTGTCGCGATCGACTGTCGCTCTGCCTTCGCAGCGTCCGCCAACGAGGTGAACAGCGCGACAGGTACAAAATTATGTCGATCGAGTTTCAAAAAAGAGGTGTGCTTGCTGGAAACTGCAACCAACCGTTTCGACATCTGAACAGTTATCGAATCGTGGTATTTTAACTTCTGGCTAACTTCTTCTCGTGTTCTCGGAGCTGATTATACTTCTCGTACACGCGACAGAAGGAGTATCCGGCAAATGTAGAGGCCAGGAAATTCCGGTATATTCGAGCTAATCAAAGTTTAATCGGCCCAATCTACCAGTTCGACTACGTGTTTACATCTAAAGCTACATCCACTATATCGAGGTTATGTGTTGCGCCAAACCCGAGAGAGATCTCCGGGTGATGGAAATTGGAACGAGGTTCAATGGGTCCCGGTGATCTTTCAAATTGCTATGATCTATAATATACGCGACGCCATCGTGGAACCCTTATCGATTTTCGTGCCGGGTTAGAAACAAAATTAAAATGATAAATTACTAGCCTTTTAAAGAACCGTGAATCTTGCATGAAAGTACATTTTATAACTTTCATTTAGCCGTGTAAGAGTTTTTAAGCTCGTCATCGATAACCATTACTAACTAATCGCGAATCACGTTTCAGTCTAAGCTAATCGATGGATTCGTAGAAATTCCAAATATCAAACAATATCGTCGTAGACGAGCGTTTAGCGTAACACGATGAAGTTTATAATATATGAACTAGTCACAGTATTAATGACAGAGCGATCGCCTGTTTCATACAGTGGCATCGTCGCATCCATCCCAATTAAACGGTCCGTTAATGGGTTATCGCGATACCGTCATTATTTTCAATAAAATAGAACGTAGAAATTGGTTTGAGGAACAGAGGAAACACGAAAACGGAACCGGTATCAGATAGTAACCGTATCGAATTATAAATAAAAGAACTTCTAATCGAACCAAACTACATACTACTATCGACACTCGAACACATTACTGAAGACACCTAATCAAAAATTACAACCGATAATTCGCGATAACGCCATCAGACCTGTTACGGTATCGCATAAATTATCGATTCCAACGATCGGGTAATAGAACCTTCCAGGCCAAAGTTTCTAATTACATTCGACTTCATAACTCACGCGAACTTTGAATTTATGGGAAAGTTACGGCGCCTAAGAAAATTTGACGCTCAATAGAATACACCGGGGCAGAATAATCGATCGACTTCGGATACGCTACGATAAGGAGGTGACACATCGGCGCGGAACAGTTGCGTTAAATAATTACCAGCTATAACTATGTTAGGCTGTCCTTAGAGCACGGCTGGTTAATCCGACGCACGTTAGTACTTCTCTAATTAACAACTCTTCGTTAACTCGATTTTATTGCGTCAAGTCGACTAATCCGGTCCGCTCTGTCAGCTGCTTTTAAAGTACACGCCCTATCGACTACCTAACTCGCCACGAATACTTGTTCCAAATTCTCTAAACTAGATCTACCGTAGGACCGATCGTAACAGCGCTATGGTTGACCGCCATAGGTGCAGACCACCGAGCATAAAAGTTGGGAAAGTGTTTCGATGTGCGAGGATTTCGAGCGAAACTTAACTGGCAACTCAAAGCTACTTCCTATCACTTCCTCTCGGTTGTTTACAGAATTCTACGAGCAACGCCATCTGCCTGTTGCATATGGAAACAAGTAGAGGTACCGAAAGCTATATGATACTGAAAGAGTAATTTGTAATTTCATCGAGGATTCGATAATTGGCTGGTACGAAGACAGCGTGGAGAAAGCTTCTCTAGCTTTTTCTAGCTTTTCTAATCGATCAACTCGACCAATCGGATAGAATTACGCAACATGCTCTTCCCTTATTGGATCTTCTTGTAATCATGCCCGTGGATCTTGAGGGTGCTGCGAAGCCTCTTGAGAAGCTGTTAGACGAATTATCCATCCCTCCTGCCATCCTACTTTTACCATGAAATCTTCCGTGTCACCGTGTGAAAGGAAGAGCTAAAAGTGCCGTCGCTGGAGAATTTCGACACTCGGGGGCCAATCATGTTTACTCGATTTTTTAGAAAACTACGCCGGTAAACCGCTGATGATGCGTTTCCGAGACGCTGAAAGCCTAGCGAAAGCTCTTTGTAGATCGTGATTTCACTTAGCGTAATTGGCTACGTTACCGTAGAATGGAGTAATTGAACAGACCTTTCAATGGAAAGATTTATCGACTTATTCATTGATGCTTCGAGAAGGAAACGTCGGGATTGTTTGCGAGTCCTGATGATTTTAGTCAGCGATCATTAATCATCTCGACCAAAGACTCGATTTTTGTTTGCGCAACAAGAAATACACGATTCAAGACGGTCGACATAATTTTAAGCGAATTGGAAGACATTTTTATTTGTCTTACATTCGAGAAGATTCGTTTCGAACGACTCGTTCCGTGTATTTCCCACGCTATATCCAATCCTTTCGATTTCTTTTCGTTCTCCTGGCATTTCGTTTCCCAACGACACTTGTATATTCTTGCTGGCTCGTAGCCTCCCAGCTGACACGTGTACCAGTATTCTGCGTTCTCGGTAGACGAGACGCCAAAGTTGACCATCGACGGAGTTAAACGGGAACTTCCAAAAGTTTACGAGACGTCCGCGTATTTGTGCGGGGACACAGGTCGACGGGGCTAGACAGGTTAAACCAAGGCTTGACCGTTCGCCCAGAATCCGACCCGGACCTTCGTCTCGACCCTGGCCGGAAGTTATTCGGTACCCAAGGGAGTTACGGTAACTACTGCGGGATTGCATCGTCTCGATGATCACTGACTGGACCCCGAGACGTCCTATACGTGTACTTTGCCCAGAGCAAACTGCCTTCGATACTGGGTGTCGTTAATGTAGTTGTTAGACCGGCTGTGTGACGTACATGAGAGATCGTCGAGTGCAGGCTACCTCGGGGCTCTGGGATATCGCGTATGCCGCGGAAGACGTTCGTCAATTTTTCGTTCGTTATTCTGGAAGAATTAGGGATCTACTCTTTGGGGACTCTTACGAATGTAAAGACGATAGTATCTATATACACGTATTAGAATAGTTATCGCTAAACAAAAGAGAGTACGTTGGCTAGATAACTCGAGTTGGCTCAATTTTCTAGCCGCTCGATAAAATATTCCCACGCGGAGAGTACCAACCACGTCGCAAAATGGAGTTCTCAGCAACGAAAAGCAAAAAATTTTTACGGATTCGCGGTTGCTCTGTACGAGACTCCCAGATCGATTTCATTTGCATCTGCATTTTATTAACCGCCGACGAGCCAGCTTTCTGGCCCTCTCTCCTGTTCGTTGATCCCTTGTAAAAATATGAATAATCGCGCTACGTACATACGATGTCAGCTTCGAAATGTTAGAATAATTTTGTTAAAATTGCCCGGGAAAAGATCTAGCTTTGACAATATTTAAAAAAATTAAGAACGACTAATATTTGCGTCGAATTAAGACTTTATATTCGAAGCAATTAGTTTCTCTGTTAGACGTTCCTTCGTAAATAAAGGTTTAATGGGTGGTTTATTCGACAAATCTGAAAATGAAGCGTGCAATCCATTAATCGCCAGCAGGGCGCCGGGAGTCAAAGTTATACCGTGGTCGTCAATTCGGTTTTCATTGACAGTGTCTGGTCCGAATTTAGTGAGCTGGGCGGGGACAGGAAACGAATCGCGGTTGACAATGATTAATTGGTGGGAAATGGATCGGTATAACGGCAATTTCCGTTCGCGGGTAACAAGCGAAATAATAAAACAGCGAGTCCAAAGTTTCTTTCCCGCCAGCGACGACAACGTTCTACTGGCAAACTTGGAAAGACATAAAGAGAAGTCGACTTTCTGCGGAATTCCAAGTAAAACAAATCTCGATGACGGATGGTACCATACATATTCAACGACTAATATCGTGCGTGAAATGCTGACATTATAAACGATAAGAGTATTTCCTGCTGGACAATAAAACTTCGCAGGATCGGGGAAAAATTTAGACGAACGAGCATGCACGAGGTGTTGAGCCGCTAATAAAAACTTATTTCCCCGCGCCGGCTAGAACCGACTATTGTTCTTTATTTTCGAAACGAATACGGCCAATAACGGTCAATATCCATTTGCCTATTTTGTCCAACGCCTGTACCTCGCGGAGGCTAAAAATTCCGGATCTCGAAACCGATTTTAAAATGTTTTTTTTTTCGACGAGCAATTAAACCGTGTCTCGACACCGTTACTATTGTTGCGATGAAATCGATGTCGATCGATCGCATCCTCCCAGATTCGAACCTCGCAAACCAATTCCAGCGATTGGTATGTTTGTAAACTGGATACTCAAGATAAACAATTAGTCCTGAAAATGGACATCCCCTTCATGAACGACGGATCGTGTTCTCCATGATTTCAAATAATTTCGGTATTTTGTAATTCGTCCAGAGAGCAGGAATTAAACGATAAATCGCGCGATGAATCGATTGCATGTAAAATAAACGCGTTCTACTCGAAGCAAGCGATGTACATATATACGGATATGATCAACGAACATTCCGTTCGCTGTAGCAACGACGCATGGAAAACACGGGAATAAGTTAATACGTGAATTGTTGGGAAATCGAATATGACGCGATACACGATGAAACCCGCTTTGCATACGAATGGAAAGCGCGTTGCAATGTTATTCCAAAAATTTTTTTCCGAATTCAATATTCTGTTATTTTCGTATCAATTGTTATTCCTTTTTAAAACCATTATCTCTTTCATTCGATTATCTTGTATTCCACGTAATTAATGTACGCGGCATTCGGCGGAAATTTAAATAAACGGATGAACATTGACAAACGATGTAAATTGACGGCAGTGCCGTTGTAAATGAGCTTCGATTCGAATCACGCAGACTCGTTCGTTGTAATTGTTATCCGAGACATTACCGTGGATGCAAAGGGGAAGAAATTCGAGCGATCGACAGGTCCAAAGAACCGATAGGACAGCGGACTCGTAGAAATTTCGCATCATTGTAGCGGAATTCGGCTTGATCCGTTAATCTGTCGAACGTAGCAGGCGCTGGACGGTTTACACGGTCGCGTTAAACCGGTAGGAAGTTCCTGACGGCGGCCGTGTAAAAGCGGCTCGTAATTTGTAAGTGACACAAGGACCCGGACCTCGAGGACATCCCACGTGCACAGAAGCCGATATGTGTCACTCTGGTCTGCCGTCGCTGGGATTAAATGGAGGCTTGTGTAAATTATCGCGATCCTGCCAATTGGATAAGAGTGATTGGCGCTCGTCTACGATCCATTGAATCTATTCGGTTCTCGATTATCGCGCGGCAGCTAAGCGAATCGAAAGACGAGTTAGCTTCGTCGCAACGCTAGGGTAGTTTTAATCCAGACAGTTTTGCTAGACTCGAAAAAAAAAACGATCGATGACTGGGAACGCTAGTAGTTTTTCGCTAAGGTACGGTGCCAACCCGAAAGTAATTTCAGCTTCTAAAGTTTCTACGGTAAACAAGCTGTTTACGCGGACAATGGATCTATCAAGGTAAGCTACACTTTGGTTGGTTTTAAAAGTTAGGAGCCGTAGAATTCCACTCGAGTTACATGTTCCGTTTCGATGCGATAACATTCTCGCGATCAAGGATCAACATACCTTTTGAAACATCATGGAACGAGAATCTAAATCCAGTCATAGAAAATAATAGGTTCCGCGAGGAGTTGTTTTACGAGCGTGGATTCGTGTTTCGCCAATATGTTAGCCCAACGTCGGATACGCGGTCGTGTATCGGCGGATAAGGATTAAGGTAAGGCTGCTGTAAATTATTCTGTCAATTCGATAAGGGCAATCAGCGGTGATTGCATGCCATTAAGTCCTCGAGTCCTCTCAGCACTTTGCCATGCCTTGCATGCTTGAAAGCCTTATCTTTGGGAGGATCTATGGGAAACGTGAAAATTATATATATCGAGTAAAAATATTCTCGAAGAATAATGGATGTCGTCGAGTTGATGCATCGTCGAAATGGAAATTTACGAGTCCTGCCATTCCTGAAAATTTGTGACGATAATGCGACTTGTACGCCCTAAAATTTGTATCTACCCAACGGACCGATGCAATCTCCCTCTTCTCGCTCGACACGACAAATTTCCTCGGTCGCTTCGCAAAGAGTCGTGGCTATACACTTCTATTCTGTATACACTTTGATTCTGAATCGCGTTTGCGCACCTAGTTACCCGCGTACGATTTCAACGCTCAAAATCGATATCGATCAACGTGACGGGGCATAATCCGGGAAACGGGCTAGCCGCGACCTCGCATAAAACAATATAATCCAGGTAGTAGGATAACAAGCGGCGCGTCTGCCGGTCAACCGAGACAAGTACGAGCGGACGTGTTCCATTTAGCGTACGAACGATGCAGCGACGTTTTAATACGCCACGGATTCGAGTAGTTCCCGGTGATTGCGCAATCAAAGGAATTGAACTGCGCCGGAAATACGCCGCCGCCCGGAGGACTCGTCGAATCTTCTTCCGATAGAAACGATTCGAGCGATTTCGCGAACGAGGAGAAAAAAGGCGAACAGGCGAAGGAAGAGACGGGAGAAGCTATCAACTATCAGACTTTCTTCCAGCCGACGATCCGATCCGAGTAATCTAATCGGTACCGTTAAACTTTCATGTATGTATGTAGTTCAACGGTTACGAAAATATTCCATATTTCAAACTTCAACTCGTAAACAACTGTAGATTGTTTATTTTAGTTTCTAGACGTAATTGCATCTGGCACGATCCGACATTTATCGTGAGATGACGTCGTCGTAGGTCCCAGAGATAATTTTACAGCTTCGTCAAACAAGTGGACAGCCGGCTCGACTCGAGTGGCTCTCGCGTCTGGCTGTGACGAAAGGATGACAACTAGCATTGGTAATGGAATTCCGTAGTTTCACGTGGAACGGTTGCGGGGAGTGAATCAAAGCGGCCGTGAGGCCGCTCGTTGACATGACAATTGCACCAATCATCAATGCATGAATCACGGACAATCCACTTTGCCTTCGTCGTGTTACGTCGAGCCTTGTTACGCGTTGCCGTCACGTTGCGGAAAGTTCGATATCGATCCTGCTCGATACGGGTGCATGTGTCGCGTGTGTATACATGTGCGTGGGTCAGCGCGTGTGCGACTTTACACCAGCCACGAGCCCATTGACTTTGCTTGGAAACAGGCCAACGATGTAACGTAACTTTCGGGAGACCAAATTGCCAGAAGCCCGTCTCCTCGACGCGTTCCACTCTCCTATTTTTTTACTCTGTCTCGGCATTTTCATATCTATCTCATGGCCGTTATAACAGACACCAACGTTGAACACGGTGTGAATTAAAAAACTAAACAACGTAAATACTATAAAGAGAGTTACACAATTTACAAGGAATCAACCCTCCTGCTTCAGGGCATATCTTCGGGGGTGAATCGTGGCAGCAACTACCTCTGCTTTCGCGCCATGATTGTCTCTACATCGAACACATAGTGTATTCGACAGTTTATGCGAAGAAACGAGATATAGGATATTTAGTTGACTAAATCCATCGACTTTCCTAATCGGTAAAGGGATAATATTCTTTCCCAAACTAGAAACCAAATTTCAACAAACATAACTCTCACGGAATTCGTTTCCTTACGCTGAAACGAGCAAAAATTAACATAGTATTTACGTGTTACGAAGCGCGGAAAATTATTCCCATTCGTTGTAAACTTTGTACCCTTTTACCGTGTAACATTTCCAGCACGGCGATGGAACATTTTCAACCACACAATTTAGCGATTGTTTCCTGTGTGGCGCGACTGTCACTTCGTTATGACATTTCCTTTGTTAATTTAAACACACGCGACACGCGCCACTCTGTAATTCTGAATACGCGAAGAGACGGAATTCCACGGTCACACGTTCGAATTGAATGCGTTCTAATCAAAAGGACCGCGCGTCGATTTTATCGAATTGCTCGTTAAAGCGATCATTCGATACGCGCGACTAACAGGGACTAATCATCGGGAACTGCAGTTCGACGCAATGAAGTAATACCGAACGAAATACTTTTTCCTCTCTTTCGTTCCGTTCGAATACGAATTCATCGATGCGGCAAATTAAATTATCTCCGAGGTATAAATTTTCCAATTTATCGAAGACGAATTATTGTCAAAAGATAAAACGATTTGCCGTGCTATTATCCGTAGCTCTAATAAACATATCGGTTTACACCTGCGTTAGGTCTGAGTTGGATCTAGTTATCGATCATTTATTTTTGTTAGTATTCGTATATCTGCTAAAATTGTTATTCTTGTCTGGGATTAACTACGTTAAGTCGGCGTTAGAAATATCCCCATTTTTCTCCTAACTATCCTGTTAAGGCAAAGCTATTTCGCGTTAATAATGACGCAAAACAGCCATTATACTTGCACCGTGTTTTATGGGCAACTACGTAACTGTCGTATCGCAGGAGTAGCCGACACGCGAACACTCGGTTCGTATCGCCGTAAAGGCGTTCGGCTATTGAGAAATGTTTTACATAGTTTGAAATATATTCGTGTCGAAGTACCATTCCACGTTCCATTGCAAAAACAGAGTGCGCATCGATCACCTTCCACGAAAATTCCGACAACGCTCGTTCCTCACCCGGAGAAACGAAAAGTGGCAGGGTCGTTTCGCTAAAAAACGAATTCAATCACGCGGAAACTCTGTCTCCTGCCCTTTCCTGCCCTTTTTAACCGAATCGGGTACGAGGGAATATTAAATTCTTCGAAGCCATAACCGCTCCCCGCTCCCTCCCTCCCTCCCTCCCCCCCCCCCCCCCACCCCCTCCGCAAGAAAACTATTGCTCCGTGTTACCATCGCTTTAACAATTCGAAATTCGAAAATCAACCAAGAATGAGATGGTTTCTGGCAGACCAAACATCGAGGATCGAAATTTCGAACGAAAGGCATCGCTTTAACGACAACAAGCTCATCCATCTGGCACGATAAAGGGCTCGGAATGGGTGTTAATAAGAGAATCTGAACGATCGCTCAAGACTCCGTCGGGACGGGGAGAATTAAATTGAAAAATCACGGCCGAAGGGGTGAGTGGGGTGTCGCTTTGTCAAGTCAGATTACACGCCAGGGACGCGGAGATTATTTCCGTGATTCGGGGAACGCCTCTCGGCCACGAGGGCGCTGGTCGATTAAGAAGAGCGGAACGGAATTGCACTTTTCCGATGCAACGTTTCCGAGAAGGTCGACGAGCCGACGCCAACGGCGACGTCGCGAAGCGACTGCTTCCCCTCTTAGGGGAAGGAAAGTCAGATTTTATCATTCCTCGGAATTCCACCGTGCTACAGCTACCCCCGCCGTTCCATTTGGACGTCGCCCCCTTTCACGGTTTCCCCGCGAAGCTGGAAAAGCTTCCCCGCTCGAAATTCGGCCGCCACTCGCAATCTCGCATTTGCATCTCGTTGCCTGGTACGCCAGCGATTCTGGATCCGATCGTCGGGGGAATACGAACCTCCCTCCTCTTCGGCGAGTAGAAACGGGCGAAAGTTGACGGAGGCACGAGGTATTAGGATTCACGCGGTGCAGCCCCGGTGGATCGAAGCGCTCGATACAGCATATAGAGAAGAGGTTTTATCCCAGCTTCCCTGTTGTACTGATATGCGCTGGCTTCGCTGCCCGACGGTTTTCGGTTGATTAATTCAGGATCCCGTGCTTATCGGGTCGACGCAGAGTTCGAGGCTACCAACTACCGCCGCGTATTTTTCCTGGAATATATTAATTCGAATGCGATAAGGAATTTTAAAGGGGACATTTTAAGCACGGTTCCCCCTTCTTGGAAAATAACAAAATAATTCTTCGAGATCTACTTAAAATCGTTTAGCTACCTTATCTTAGTACTTGGAATCGTCAGCGAATGAGCATTCGACGTTATATACCACCTCTCTAGTAGGTTGAAATTTTGAGAGACGGTTTCTTTGCGGCTTCTCGAAATCGCGGCGATGCCAAGGAAGAAATACGCGTGCCAGCGCAGCATCGATTCGATACAGAAATGCTGCGAACTGCTGCGTCGTATCCTCCCATATCCTGTATTCCTCGAGGGAGACACGGAGTCAGGTAAACATAGTGTAACCAGCCGTAAGTGTATGCAGACGAGTCGCTGGAACTTCTTTCCCGCAGACTTTGCATCGTACTCAATTTTCCTACCCTGGTTCCTGGACCCTTGGCCTTGTTTATCCTCGCTATAACGCATAGAAAGCCCTGCTCACCGATCGCGCTCGTTACAGCACCGACGAAACGACGGAGGTTGGCTCTAAGTCGACGACCACGATAACAGTTTCTCTTTGCGTCGCGAGCCCCGGGAATCCCGAACCGTTCCCCTTTTTCCGATCCGCTAATGCCCCTGCTCCCAACTTCCCGAAGACGTTCATCGGGAATCGAACGAAACTTTCTAGGCGCCCGCGATTAGGTCGCGCTTGGAATGACTATTGCGATGAGAGTACAGGAGAATGTTTCAGATTTTACTTGCACC